ACGAAATTTATTCTTTACCATATTAATATATACGTTTAATTCTNGAATTAGAATTGATAGAGATGCAAGAAGATCAAGCTCTACAATTAAAATATAAGTCGACGTCGGTTACTGAATTTTGGAAACTTGTACCAGAATCGAAGTATCCTGAATTAAAAAAAGGCTGCTTGTCGAATTATTTCAATATTCGGAACAACGTACTTATGTGAATCATTTCATTCCACTTTAAAATTCGTGAAATCCAAACACCGATCAGTATTAACTAACCAGCATCTCAAAGAATTACTGAGAAGTGCTGTCATAATTATTCACCAAATTTTAAAGAATTATCAAGAGAAGTAAAATAAAGGTGTTTAATATATAAATTCAATACACAGATTTTGTAGTTTTATTTATATATATATTCAATAAATATAATTTCTGTAAAAAAAAAATTAATGTCTTTTTCGCATACCTTTTAAACACGTATTTAGTAGCGGCTAGCGAAAAATTTAAAAAATGGCACGACTGTCTAGGAGCTTGGCCACCCCTGCTCTAGCCCCTACTTTTTTACAGAGCGGAGCAAGTTGGCATCGCATAAACAATAGCAATTCACTCAATAACAAATCACTGTAAGGAAATTTATCACGGCGAAGAAGTATTTCAATATAAAAATTGCATCCGTTAAAAACAATAGGTAGTTATGAATTTTTATTATTCCCGGAAAAAAACGAAAAAATAAAATTTATTCTTTACCAGTTTTTACTCCGGTGAGCCGCCCGATGAGACAATCTAGCGTGACCAGCGCCCCGTATAACTGAAAGCCTCCACACGGTTTTTTATATATAGTTTGATCAGACCACTATGAAAGATATCCAACTACCGAATGAGAAATTTTATACAGAATATAGTTAAAATAAAAAAGTGGTAGCAAATATATGATTAAAAATTTATTTTATTTATGAATATTATTGGTTTGCCTTATTCACTTGTCAACCACTACAGATCCAGTTCTCAAATATATAAGACAAATTTTTCTCAATTACTTTTATAAAAGGTTTTGGGTTCATGCACACAACTGGTTCACTTTTTAAACAGTCTGCGTGGACTACTTATAAGAAACCGTGTGGAGGATTCTTGATGTAGGAGGAGGGCCACCGGTGGGTTAGCCCGGTGTGAACGTGTTAAATTGAAATTAAATAAAAGAAGCTGAATTATGGCTTTTTAAAAAGAACTGTTATAAACTGTAAGAATGTTTATTGAAGAAAAATATTTATTTATTTCTGAATTTAGCTATTTTATTTTGCATTGTGAAGTTTGATGATAAATACCGATGCAATTATTTGTAAACGGATATTCTTTTCGTAATTCCCTTTTGTTTTCGTATTTTCTTATAACAATAATTGATGGAAAGTACATATATTTATTTAAATTTTGTTATTTCACTAATAAAATTTCATACAACTCATCCAAATATTAAACAAGTAAAACAATTAATAATTACTTGAAAACGCGTATTTTTTCGTTATTCTCCTTTGTTCTTGTATTTTCTAAAAGCAAAATATTGTTGATGGAGAATACATATATTTATTTAAATTTTGTTATTTCACTTAAATAATTTCATAAAACTAACCCAAATATTAAATAAAAAAACAATTAATAATTACTTGAAAACACGTATTCTTTTCGTTATTCCCCTTTTATTTTTGTATTTTTTTATAACAATAATTGATGGAAAGTACATATATTTATTTAAATTTTGTTATTTCACTTAAATATTTTCATACAACTAACCCAAATATTAAATAAATGAAACAATTAATAATTATTTGAAAACGCGTAATCTTTTCGTTATTCCCCTTTGATTTTATACTTTCTTATAGTAATATATTGTTGATAGAGAGTACATATATTTATTTAAATTTTGTTATTTCACTTAAATAATTTCATACAACTAACCCAAATATTAAGGAAATAAAGCAATTAATAATTACTTGAAAACGCGTATTCTTTTCGTTATTCCCCATTGTTTTTATACTTTCTTATAGCAATATATTGTTGATGGAGAGTACATTTATTTATTTAAATTTTGTTATTTCACTTAAATGATATCATAAAACTAGCCCAAATATTAAATAAATAAAACAATAATTACTTGGAAACGCGTATACTTTTCGTTATTCCCCATTGTTTTTATACTTTCTTATAGCAATATATTGTTGATGGAGAGTACATTTATTTATTTAAATTTTGTTATTTCACTTAAATGATATCATAAAACTAGCCCAAATATTAAATAAATAAAACAATAATTACTTGGAAACGCGTATACTTTTCGTTATTCCCCATTGTTTTTATACTTTCTTATAGCAATATATTGTTGATGGAGAGTACATTTATTTATTTAAATTTTGTTATTTCACTTAAATGATATCATAAAACTAGCCCAAATATTAAATAAATAAAATAATAATTACTTGGAAACGCGTATTCTTTTCGTTATTCCCCATTGTTTTTATATTTTCGTATAGCAATATATTGTTGATGGAGAGTACATATATTTATTTAAATTTTGTTATTTCACTTAAATGATATCATAAAACTAGCCCAAATATTATATAAATAAAACAATAATTACTTGGAAACGCGTATACTTTTCGTAATTCCCTTTTTGTTTTCGTATTTTCTTAGAAAAATAATTGATGGAAAATACAGATATTTATTTAAATTTTGTTATTTCACTTGAATAATTTAATGCAACTAACTCAAATATTAAATAAATAAAACAATTAATAATTACTTGAAAACGCGTATACTTTTCGTTTTTTCTTATATAATTTCTTATATTCGTTTTTTCTTATATTTTTCTTATATAATTTCTTATATTTCCATCAAATTTCTTATATTTGATGGAAAGTACATATATTTATTACATTTTGTTATTTCACTTAAATAATTTCATAAAACTACCAAAACATTAAATAAATAATAGATTATTAGTCAGATAAAAACACAGTTGTAGGTTTCAAAAAGCATAATTGGTTCGAAATAAGTCTAATTCACGAAACCCCAGTGAACTTTCCGTGGAACCTTGGTGCTCCGCATATGTCGTTTCACTTCGAACGCAATTATGTATGGTCGCATTTGCTAACAACCTGTCCCACAAAACATTTCTATCGAAATTGGTTGTTCTGGAAAGGGCTGATGTTAAAGTAGGCTTGCCAACTTTCTAAGCTTTTTGTAAAAATTTACATTAGTGGTATCTAAGTTAATGCTTCAATACATTATTTTTTATTCTTTTTAACTTATTATTTTCACACTACTACATACAAATTATTTAAAGGCTCAACGCCACTTTGTTCCAGCTCTATCGTGACTAAGATTTCAAAATGTTCGCAAAATAACCGAAAATTCTGAAAGCTTTGGTTTTTAAATGTCTACCACTTTTTAAAATATTCTGCAGAAAGCGTAGTAGTTGGCAGGCCTGGTATACATGTATAAAAAGACCGACTTACCTAATCAATAGTATAGATCTCCTTAAGAATTTATTTGAAAATTTAAACTTAAAAACGATTTCCTTAAATTTAAAATCATATACGAGCGAAGAGAGNTGTATTAATAAAAAAGATGCCGTCGTTACTTAGGAATTAATATAAAAATAAGATACAAGTATTAAACTTACCAAATTCAAGCATTTTTATAACATCAATAGAGCACATTTGTAGAAAACTTCTTCCATCGGTAGCGTGGATGCGAGGGGACAGAAAACGTATTTCGTCATAAAATTTTTCACTGATGTGCGCATGCGCTTGTTCTCCGTTACATGATCGTACCGAAGAAAAAGAATTGAAGCGAATTTGAGAGGCACGAATGTCTTTTCATTGACTGGCCACGCGCATTGACTGGCGTTTGCTTTGGTGCCTTTAATTTGTTGTGGTGCCTCTCATTTTTAAAGGCACATTAGTTATGTGCCTCTTACGCGAGAAAATACACGGTACATTTAGCCTGTGCCTCTGAAATCAGAGGTACAGTTTTTAGAGTGTAGTAAAAGCTTTTCAGTTATAGCTAGTTTTTGGGAGGAGTTTACTTATTCTTTTTAAAACTATTCAACGATATCTACATTATCCTTGGAAAATAAACAGTTTCATATATAAACTAAAATTATAAAAGAAATCTTGATAGTTACAGATATTTTATTTTTCTCGAAAAAAATGCTAAAATGAAATGTCTTTCGTACCAGTTTTTGCACTTTTCCGTCTTGCTATATAGGCTTTCAGCCATGCATATACTCATAGATGCGTAACATCTACATATACTTTTTAGGTTGAAATCATAGAAACTACAAGAACACATGACAAAAGAATTTTCATTTTTAAGGGACGTTTTTGACGTTCAGTTGTCTATAACGTGTGTCATAATGCGAATTAGTTCTTGAATCAGTTATGATACACATAACGTAATATTGTGGTCACGTCTGATCGATCTTCGTAAGAACTTCATTATTCTAGACAACTCAAAGAAATAAATCATATTTTTACTCTCTCATTTATCATATCAAGATCTTAGATAATAATTCTTACATGATGTTGGGAAATTTGTGATTATTGTGATGTTTCTGCATAGACAGCGTGATTTAAGACTTAGTAAAGAATGCATTACATTTCTTAAAATAGATTACGTTTTGCCAATTATAACCATGCATGGGAACGCTATAAATCATTTATGATACATAGTTACACAAAGAATGAATATATAATTATGATTCTATCTAGTTTTCTATGAACTACCTATTAATTAGTATTTACATAGCTGATAGAGATTAAGAATTTAATTTAAAACGACATGGAGTTTCTTTATTGAAAAGCTATTGTGAAATACATTTGAAAATAAGCGTACTGAAAGTATAAGATCATAATTATGATTTCGATTTTAACTGATTTTCAAATGAATAAATTGTGCATCTGGACAAATATAATTTATGGGATTGTTTGAAAATGAGATAAATTTCATGGTATATAAGCATGGAAGATTTTTCAAAACCTCACTATTTTGAGAATACTCAACATAAAAATGGATTCCTTCTACGTCCAAACATATATACTTGTCATTGGAATCATATGCAGTAAGTTATATTCTTTTTTAATGTTTCCACACGAGATTTTGAACTGATTTCAGATATTTTTGCGCTGCTGAATTCAAATATGCAATCGGTTTCTCTATTCAAGCTACAGTCTTAATGCAATTTAATAACCTATTCATAACCAGGAATTTTTAAACTTTACTTGAGGGAATACAAAGTATTTCCCCTTCTCTGCTACGCAGGGAGTGGTAGGAAGAAAGCGGTAATACGGTTCATGATGCGATACGTTAATTTCACATGTTTTTCCCCTTTAAATATTATTTTTGAAACAGCAGACGTGTGAATATGCATTTATATAAACAAATTATTTATAAGCTTGCGCATTCAGACAAAAATAAATTAATCTAAAAATATTATTAAAAAAAATCCGTGGCTTTTGGAACAAACTAATTTCGGATTTGAATTTCCCACGTTCATATCAGGTACTTGTTTAACTACAACAAAAAATTGATCCCTAGGATTATTCATTACTTTTAGAAAGTGTGTAGAGTTAAAGCTTCAGAACTCTGTGTAAAATTTTCAAAATAATATTCGAAAACTCACCACTTTAACTTTCAGCCTTTTTTGTTTCAAACTCACCTAGCTTTCTAATTAGATACGAACATGGCAAAAGGGCCCTAAAGCCTCAGACGTCCAGTTCCACTACAACGAACTAAGGCTCCTAGACTATCAGAGCTGACCTATCAAGCAATATTGGAGCAAACAAGTTCACAAGTATATTAACTTGTATTCTCAGGG